ATGTGATGTGTGATGGTGGGATGGGATGATGTGATGTGATGCGAGGATGGGATGGGATATGTGATGTGATGATGGGATGGGATGATGTAATGTGATGTGAGGATGGGATGTTGGATGATGTAATGTGATGTGATGATGGGATGGGATGATGTGATGTGAGGATGGGATGGGATGATGTGATGTGAGGATGGGATGTGATGTGATGATGTGGTGGGATGGGATGTGATGTGATGTGATGGGATGGGATGATGTGATGTTGTGATGGGATGTGATGTGATGATGTGGTGGGATGGGATGGGATGGGATGTGATGGGATGATGTGATGTTGTGATGGGATGTGATGTGATGTGATGTGATGGGATGGAGGAGACACAGACTGACCTGAAGGCATTATAGACGGGTCTGAACCAGCAGAGGAAGGAGCAGGGAGCGAACAGGATGAACCAGAGGATGGACAGACCGAAGTCCACGCCTGCGTCTGTGCTAGTGGTGAACTCAGCTAGACAGGCCGGAATGTTCAGAAACAGCGTCACACACTGCCCTGCAAACACACACACACACACACACACACAGCTCACACGTCACATACGGACAGACATCAGCCGGCAGAGTCCAGCTCAGATTAACTACATTATCAAACAAACACATAATATAATGTTTTATTCAGCATTCAGTGTTAAAATTGTATTACAGCCACGATATTTTGAAATTATGTATTTCCAAGTTATCTACATACAATAATGTATATTTTCATATCAGTACTGTTATTGTTAACTAAAACCAAATAGTTAGTAATAGCTATTAAAAATGGTTTTAGATAAAAGAAATATAGCTGCAATCAAATAAAATATAAATATCAGATGGAAACGTTAGAAATGCTTTCTTTGGCAACTAACTAAAATAAAATAGGTTTAAGTTGAAAATAATAATAATAATAATAATAAATAAAACAGAAAAAAGCTAAACAAGTAATATTCAAAAATAAAACTGACAACTTTGTTAAACATTTTTTTTTTTTTTTTACTTGGAACAACATTTGGAATAAGGAATGTGTAAAACATAGCTCGGAAAAAGTATTAAAAATGTTTTGGATAACGGAAATTAATATTGATATCAAATAAAAAAAACTAACATTAGAAGTGTTTCCCTGGCAACTAACAGAAATAAAACAAGAAAGTTCAAATACTTTATACTAATATATAAATTACTAAAACTGAAATAATAATTTATTATATTATAATTATTTACATGACTAAAAAAAAAACTAATAAAAATGACAAAACAAAATTACTAAAACTTAAACTAAAATTGAAATTAAAACTAAAAATATGAAATTCAATTCAAAATATTAATAAATATTATGACACTATGTAATTAATACTAAAATAACAGTTTTATGTTAAACAAGAAAATAAAATAAGAATTAAGAATTGACTGGATGTTGAAAAGGTTTTTTTTTTTTGTAAAAAATAATTAAACAAACCAACTTTGTTTACTTGTATCAACATTCGAAATAAGACCAGGGATATGTATTTTGACTTCCTGCATCAGCGGCCTGTAAACTCACACATCCACAGGTAATAGATCATTTTGCAGAGTCTCCGATTTTCCTGCGGGATCTCCTCAGAGAAGTCCTGGTAGAAGCAAGGCTTGATGGGAAAGAATTTGGGAAGAGGAGGCCAGTTGTTCGGTTTGCCTGAGGACAACAAGTGTGAGGTGAGACAGACGCCCATATCCCACAATCCTTAGCAGCAACCTGTCAAACACTCACAACAAGTAAAGGCACTATTGACCTGTCTGTTGATTTATGCAACTGTATGAATTCAAACTAACTTAGAATGGAATATGAGCATACTGTACAGCATTTACTGAATATTATTATTTTTAAAAGTTGTACCTGGCATTAGTAAAACATAAAAAGACATTTTCATTACTTTAAATAAAATGAACATCTGAATATAAAAAATAGATTTAACAAAAAATATTAAATTAATTAAACTAATACATTAAATTGATATTTTCTATTGAATTATTATTAAATAATATTTTATTATATTAAAACTCATTTTATTTCAGCTAGTTGACAAGGCAATTTTTAATGACAAGACGATTCTCATTTTCTTTTAGACGAAATTAACTAAAACCAGTGTTAGTTTATTTATTTTAGTTTTATTAATATTTAAAATTTGTTTTTATTTTTATCTTTTCTTTTATATAATTTAGTAGCTATAAAAGAAAAAATATATACATTTTAATATACATTTTAGTAATTTTGTTGTTTTTGTCATTTTTATTGCTTCTTGTTTTTATTTAAACATGATTTAAAACTACTTTCAGTAGTACTTTTTAGTTTTAGTCATTTGAGTAGATCAAGTTAAACTAAATGAAAATGAGAAATATTTAGCTGAAATAAAATACGTTTATATTTTTTATTATTATAATTCATTTGACTTGATTTGAAGTTTACTTTATTTCAAATAATGTTTTTATGCTTCAGTTTTATTTAACTATAATAACCTAATTATTGACTAAAACTAAAACGTAATACAAATTATTTTGATATATTTCGACAATAATTTAAAAAATTACAAAAAACACAATTACTAAACTTAAAAAGAAAACAAAAAATATTAAAATAAATTCTAAATACTAACAAAAACTAAAATAGTTTATTAACAATAATGATAACACTGCATGTTTAATATCTTGCATTTTAGTGACATTTTGTCTAAAAATGTATCATAACTTGTGCCAGTCTGATTAAGTTGTACTGTATGTCAAGAGCATAAAAACTGGCTGTGATTACTTTTAGTTTATTCATCACACTGAAAGTGCAAAGTGAAGTCAGATGCACTGCATTGTGGGATACTGTATGCATGGGCGAAGCTTGTGGGGGGGCCAGGGGGGACTGGTATAGCGATTTAAGAATTTTACTAAATATTTATTTATAAAGTTTTTTCTATGATGTAAAAATGCATATAATGCAGTCAATAATACATGTAAAAGTGAATACGTAAAAGTTAATACATTTTAAATTGTTATTGTAAGTAAATTAATAAATCAAAACAAACTTAACGTCTCCCTCAAGCTCATTTGCGTAAGAATTGTCACGTGACGAATCTGCATTTTGGTGGATAATAGGCTTGACGGTAATGCTTGCCTGTTGTGTGGAATAAAATGGTGTTCCGTGTTTTTAACAACATACACGATTTGTAGAGAAATCTGGAGACAACGAGAAACTCAGATGAAGATATTAATGCCGTGCTTATGATTCCGGACCCGGACAATCAGATAAAGGTGATCTCACAGGACGCAGACGGTTTAGCCGCACACTGCTTTTATTGAACACAGAACACAACCTTTAAATAGATTTTAGAATATAAACTGTTTATCGTATATTCAATAAGA